CACCTGTTTATCATGAATGATGAGATACTTTCTGATCACTGTCTTAGAAACCTACTGTAAGATAAGCTGTTTGTAAAATTTTGGGATGTCTTTGTTACGACGAGAAACGAGTCACATTGTTGGATTATTTTCTTATGCAGTGGATCAAGCGGGACGAGAGAGATATATACATAACGAATGCGTTTTAACTTCCTCCAGAAAGAATATGCTGGTAGGCCGCAAGTCATTTCCTTGCGCCCGGCTGGATTACCATTAAAATGCGGGCTTTATTCTATGCAAAGTAGACTTTAAATGTTGGAAACCCTACCAGCATGATGAGATACGCGTGGAATACTAAAGAAAGCACGAGATGCTTTGTATGCCGGCTACCAAACCTTATCCTCCAAAGTACCAATTTGTGTTTATACTGTTTACTGCCGTTGTGGTTCATATATTTCATCTTTTTCATTTTTTTAATGTTTTTACCCGATACAACATTCAGTGTAAAGAACAGACCTCAACAGTAAATAGTGAGATTATTTACGATATTAACGATATTTTTGTGTAAATGATACTCTATTCAAGTAGTAGAACATCGAACAGTTTGCTGCAAAAATAGCTTGTAAAAATATCTGTCTATTATTTTATGGATTAAGGAGCAGTGAACACACAATAATTCACGCAAGAAGCGCCCTGTGGGTACGAATTACAATAAAACGGAAACTTGTTTCGTGGCGTGGGTTTGTTTGTTTTGAAGTTAAGCACAAAGCTACACAATGGGCTATCTGTGCTCTTCCCACCACGGGTATCGAAACCCGGTTTTTAGCGTTATATGTTTGCAGACATACCGCTGTTTCGTGGGGAAAAACAAGATGAGCAAAAGGTGAAACGTTCTGATGTATAAATAATAAAGATGTAGGGAAAACCTTTCTGATATTATAGCAAATAAAGATATAACAAAATAAGATAACATTTTTTTTGGAAGGTATTGATGGATAATGGACAACTGTAAGTGAATCTAAGTTTAAAGATACAACTATTACTTGTTTGAATTTAACCATAGAACTATCATATTTCAGTATCAGTTATAGCATCGAATTCTTAGTCTGATACTTTTAGTTATTATGAAACAATAAAATGTTCTATATGGAGCAACTTTTTACATCAAAGTAATTAATTAATAAAATAATAAATATTTATATTTAGATATTATTTGCAATTTTCGCTTTCATCACAAGCGTATGAAGCCTGACATGGCCTGGTGGTTAGGGCACTCGACTCGCAAGCTGTGGGTTACGGGTTCGAATTCCATCATCGAACATTGCCTTATCAGGCATGGGACGTTATAATATTGCAATCAATTCCACTTTTCGTAGATAAAAGAATATCTCAAGAAGTAGCAGTTGGTGGTGTTGGCTATCTGCCTTCCCTCTAGTCTGTCACTTCTAAATTATGGACGAATAACGCAAATAACCGTCGAGTAGCTTTGCGCGAAACTTAACAAACAAACAAACTCAAGCATAAAAACGTACATTTTTTCGCAATACCTCCTGAAAACATACGCGTAAAATGACAAATTTACTTTTAAAGCCACTGGGGTAGTGGTAATAAAGGTATTGTTGAGGTGAGGCATTATTGCATATCTTTTGAAATGATCCTTAGTGTCAATTACTGGAAAACAAAGAGGGGTCGTTGAATAAGTACTTCTATGCTTAATCACACCAAAAAACTTGCGCCCGAGATTATAAAGGCATATTTATCGGACACTAGTCATTATATAAAGGACACTGAGATGTCCGTTTCATAAGGTTTGCATGGGTAGAAATAATATATACAAAATACCTGATTTGTTGTCCGTATTTTATTTATATCAAAATGATGAAAGTTTGGCGGGACAGAGGTTCGTGTGACATCACTGGTTTCTCGACATTACGACATTCAATAGTAGCCAGGAGTTCTTGTATGGTGTATTACGGGTAAGTAGTACAATTATAGATTGTAATGTATCACTGGTTTCTCGACATTAGGACATTCAATAGTAGCCAGGAATTCTTGTATGGTGTATTACGGGTAAGTAGTACAATTATAGATTGTAATGTATCACTGGTTTCTCGACATTACGACATTCAATAGTAGCCAGGAATTCTTCTATGGTGTATTACGGGTAAGTAGTACAATTATAGATTGTAATGTATCACTAGTTTCTCGACATTACGACATCCAATAGTAGCCAGGAATTCTTCTATGGTGTATTACGGGTAAGTAGTACAATTATAGATTGTAATGCATCACTGGTTTCTTAACATTACGACATTCAATAGTAGCCAGAAGTTCTTGTATGGTGTATTACGGGTAAGTAGTACAATTACAGATTGTAATGTATCACTGGTTTCTTGACATTTCGACCTCCAAGAGTAGCCAGGAGTTCAATACACTCATGGAAATGAGTAAAACCATGTACGACGCTTACGAAACAAAATGGAAGATGACAGAATGAGCAAAGTAGCTGAACAACTACAGGATTATAAGAATACACAGAAAGCACTAGTGTATTCGGGGGGGGGGGCAATTTTCATGATTTTGCGCCCTTACGCTCTAAAGTGCGCCTCTTATAACAATAAATAATTTCAATAAAATATTTTATTTTTCTGTCTTTCCTAGCTACAGACCAATAATTTTAGTCTTTTGAAAGCAAATCATTTACAAAATCAGTTGGCTCTTTTTACGTTCTTGTTTGCTCCAGAGCAGACATTCCCAACCCGGGGTACCCCCAAGAATACATTTGTACTTCTCAGAGGA